ACAGAAGACCCTTTTTGAATTACATCCGATCACAAATAATGCCTTCTTAACTTTCAAAAGTAGCTGAGATCTTGGTTGGTGCGACTAGATAAATTTCTTTGTGAGTTCGCAGTTTTAAATAGAATCCACGCGTTAAATGGAAATTGTGGACACAATTTAATTGCATGTTCTATCATGTAGTGCTGATCGAGTTCTTTGCCTTCATTCCTCGTGTCCTCTTTCAGCTGGGTGTCCAACTTTTCTCCAATGTTTCGCACTTCACTACTGATCTGCTGCAACTCTTGTCTGGTTCGCTCTGATGATAGAGGGTAACGTTTATGTCAGTTTTGTAAATAGGGACATTCGGGTAGATATACCTTGACTGTGAGCCAAAGCTGTGTATATCCCTTAATGTCCAGCAATAATTGTCATGCATCGCCTTTCGATTTGTGTGAGTCATTAATGGGCATAACATGTACCTTCAAACTCCCTGATCGTTTCTTTGACGTTGTCTTCATCTTGCTTCCACTGCTTTAGCAGCTGCCTGTAGTGTTCTTCCGTAGCAGGGTCTATGGACTCATTCTTAAGGTTACTGATAGCAGCTCCATAACCTGCTCCTACCAGTCCTAATATGGCTTTGCGGATATCCTGCCAGTAGTTGTTAAATGTTGCATCATCCACAGAGGCTTGGCTGGCATGGCCGTACACATTATTACGATAGTATTTCAGCCTCGCTATGTTGGCCTCTTTACTCACATCTGCAGCTGGGGGAAGATTGTCCCATCCAGTGGTGGGATGAGGCAACCCACAGATATTCCTCAGTAGCACCATCAGTAAAGTTATATCAAAGTTTTTTGATGAGACGGATGATGGTATAGTTGGATACAACTTACCCCACTGTATAGGATTCAGGATTCTCTTCTTCCTCAGAGACTGTAGTGTTGCATGCTCTGGGTGACGCCCCAAAACTGCATGAAGTCTTGTGGGAGGGTGTATGGCATCAAAAGTGTCTCTCAAAGCCTGAGATCCAACATCCACCAGAAGGCGACACAGTCGAGCATAGTTGGTTGTCTCGTTGGTAGAAGGAAATGCTGGTGTGGCAGCAGATGCCATATGCTGTTGTAGAGATCAATTCATCCCAAGAATGTGAAATTTTTCATTGTGAAACTATTTTATACAACGAGGGTGGAGTGACGAGGTTTTTACTTCAAGTTCATGTAACAATTTCTCCTTTTTGGCAAAGTTCCTCATACGAGTCATAAAGAGTCATTGAAATGATATTGATTCTAGCAGGTTGTGAGGAACTATGGGAGCATATTTTTTGGCTGCCTGCTCTTTACTTTTTTTTTCCTTTGAATTGTCTAACTGAACCAAAAATCAGAGACTGCTGGTACATTGTAGTTGAAATGCATAAAGGAGAAAGGTTACAGCTTAGCTAGTGCAGGGCAAACTAACAACTGATGATCACGTGGTGTGCTTTGAGCTCAATCTATGAATTCATTTATCGAATTGTTAATGCTGGTTTCGAGACGTTTTTGATGCAAAAACTGAATTTGGGCTACATGTTTGACTTTCTATCACCCAGAGAAGAGAGAACCAGAGAACTCAACCATACATTTTCTTTTAGAATATTAAATAGTTTATGTCTATGTTAAAATACTTGGAAAATTTGTGGAGACGCTGATCAAATTCTTATATCATTTTATGGAAAAAACCCTTGTTTAATTAGTGCATGTGTTTGTGGTCTTAAATCAATCCAACTTGTTTAATACACGTTAAAGTTGGGTAGGCTTCACAAGAGTAATGATCAATTTCAAGACCATGTTTTGCTGTCTGGAATTCCTTACCCTATGTAAAGTTTCCTCTTCAAAAAGAACCAGTCACCTAGACTAAATAAT